TCGTTCTGGAGGTCCGTTCTTAACCTGAAACTGTTCTTAACCTGAAGCACCACTTTAGCTAATGGGGCCTCCTGCTGCCGCCGCACCACCACCGCACGATTTCTGTTCTCATCCTGAAGCAAAGTTCTTAACCCGAGGTACTATTTCTGGGTTAGCGGAGTCTGTAACCTGAAGCGTATGTAACCCGAGGTACCACTGTATTTGCAATAGTCAATTCTGCAGACAAAAGCAAGCAAAGCGATAGACCCAATCTATTTGGAATTTAGTAAAGCCCTGCTTGGCAACTGATTTTAAACAGGGTCCCTCATGTGTAGAATGACTAAAAGAGTGAGCAGCGCTGGCTCTCCACTGACTTATTTCCATGTGATCCAAGAAGAGCAACAGAGAAGTAGGCTGAGCTCTTCCCCTGTGAATCAAAGTTGCTCCCTCCCATTGGCCTGTGCCTCGGCTTTACCATGAGTGTGAGTAGATAAGAGATAGGTTTTACCAGACCCTTGGTCACTGTTCATGACTGGTAAAATCAGTCCCTCCATTTGCCTCAGCGTGAGTGAAGTGAAAGGGGACAGGGTGAGAACAGAGAAGAACATGGAAGAACCTGCCAGGGCCTGGCTGAGAGCCAGGAAGGGGTGGAGTCTCCACCTCCTTGATAAGCAGCTGTCAGTCTGAAGCAACAGCTCCTCTTCCAAACTCCATCCTTCCTGGCCTGGGGAAATGGGCAGAAAGTGGCAAGAAACAGAAGAAGCTTGGACTTAGATGACCCTCAGGGTCCCCGTCAACTCTACGGTTCTGTGATTCTAAGATTCCATGAGTCACCTACCCTTATTTAAATGTGCAAACACCGTTCACAGGTTATGGCAGCAGCTCTGTATTTGCCAGTTAAACTTGTTTTGCATTTTCTACGCTTAATTCTACCGGGAGGGAAAAACACAAAACAAAGCCAAGACATTGGCTGCACTTCATTTGATATTAGTGGGAACATTCTAGTTTCTCCCCAAGCAGACGAAGAAATGCCAGCTACTGCAGATAAGCGGCTGATAACGTCTTTAAGAAAAGAAAAGCAAAATAACAGAAATGCCACTTGTCATGACAAATTATGCATTTCAGTCCGACCGTGGACGTTGAAAGCACTTCCTCCCAATTTATAACACTATCCCCTAGGTGATATGCAGAATGAAAAATGATGCAACCAAAATCAGGGGGGCGGTGGCGGTTTGATGGTTCTTTTTTTAAAAGAAAAGAAAGAAGCATGAGTCAAAATAATACAAATTAAAAAATAATTTTCTCAAAATTAGAAATGGTGAGAGAAACCCACGCAATACTACAGGACATCTGAATCCTCTAATCACCGGGTAAGATGAAAACGTTGACAGATGTTTGACCCAGAGGGACAGCATCCGTAAAGCCCTGATGTCAACTTGGTTACGCCATTTAACCCTTTCCCCTCAATGGTTGTGCTCAGCTCTGTCCATTCTCAGACCAGGGAGCTGCCTCCCACCCACACAACTGCAAATGATCCCCCAATCTGTTCAGCTAGAGAGATTCGAGGCAGGCAGGCCTCACTCTCAAGCTAAGAGTAACAGGGTCTAAAGGAGCAGAGCGATTGCAGCTGCGCAGTGTGTGACACACACCAGAAATAAATTCATTCCATCCATCCCTAGATCCAACCCCTTCTTAATTTTTGAAATTAATCCATCCCTAGATCCAACCCCTTCTTAATTTTTTGAAGGGGGGGGGGCAACAAAGAGTCTTGCAATAAAGCTGCCTTAAAGGTAAAGGTGCCCCTGCCCGTACGGGCCAGTCTTGAAAGACTCTGGGGTTGTGCGCCCATCTCACTCAAGAGGCCGGGGGCCAGCGCTGTCCGCAGACACTTCCGGGTCACGTGGCCAGCGTGACAAGCTGCATCTGGCGAGCCAGCGCAGCACACGGAAACGCCGTTTACCTTCCCGCTAGTAAGCGGTCCCTATTTTATCTACTTGCACCTGGGGGTGCTTTTGAACTGCTAGGTTGGCAGGCGCTGGGACCGAGCAACGGGAGCACACCCCGCCGTGGGGATTCGAACCGCCGACCTTTTGATCGGCAAGCCCTAGGCGCTGAGGCTTTTACCCACAGCGCCACCCGCGTCCCAAAGCTGCCTTATGCAGAGTCAAACCCAGTGCTTTTTTTCTGGGGGGCCCCTAAACATTTTGTGAATCTAAGTCTGGCCTCATTGAGGGGTGGCATTTCATCGAGAGTAGCCCTAAACATTTTTTTAGGGGGAAAAAGCACTGTTCCAACCTTGAAGGTTCCCCCTCCCAAGGTTTTCCACAGACGGATGTTTCCCCCTGGGATGAAAAATGTTTCCCACTCTGGAGAGTCTACAGTTGATCTCTTCCCCATATCTTGAGCTTCTTTAGATGAGTCAAGGCTTGAACTAGATGCCCTACATATGCAAAGTACACACTTTGTAGCTGAGCTATAGTCTCAGCAGTCAGATCCTGGCACGGATTTGAATATGTTATTAAAATCCGTGTGACAAATTCTGTACAATCCTTATCTTGCTTTATCTTCATAAAACTACCACTAAGGTACCCACCCCCTTTTTTCTAGCAGAGATCCTGCATCTTTAAAAGGTCACAGACAGACATGGAATTGGCGAAGCGTTTCCCATCACTGCTCTTTCATAGAAGGAAGGAGGTGCCAGTTAAACTTTCACCTGCCGCAGGGAGAAAAATTCCAGCTGATGAAAGTGCTGACCTTAAGTTGGGCTGTTCGGACAGTATCTGGGCTGGTTTGGACACAAAGAAAACCCAGCATTTTGGATTATGAGACTGAGCCTTTGCCAGCCTTGTGCCAGTACAATTTCCCCCCCTCTCTAACATGCCCACGAGGAAGCTGGGTGCTTTTGTTTTGACTTCAGGAGAACCACAACTTATTGTGTTGTTCAAAACTTGACAAATGGTGGTTAACGATGGCTAATTGAACCTCACCACAGTTTATGAACAGTCGGGTTATGTTTTGGATGACATAATAAACTATGGTTAATTATCAGTGGGAGTTTCTGGTGTCCTCTTGGTCACCCTGGGGCACTAGAGGAGGGAATGCAGGAGCTCAAGGCTTGCTGTGAGTGGACTTGGCTGGTAACAATCCTGGAAGCTCTTTCCAGACAAGAGCAAAGGAAGTTAGAGGACTGTACAGCAGTCAGTCACTTTCTCTTACATTGTGGAACTGATAGCCACCTTTCTCCTTGCTTTACTTATCTATGTTTGGCCTGTGTTTCCTTTAGCAACATGTTTATTCCAAGGAGTTGAGAGGGGAAGCAGCAAGACAATGATGAAAGAACAACACTTTATTTGCCACGGAACACTGCCCTGGCAAGGCGCTGTGAAACATGTTCCCAAAAGACATCCAAATAATAATAATAATAATAATAATAATAATAATAATAATAATATAATGTTATTTATACCCTGCCCTTCCTGGTTCAAAAACCGGGCTCAGGGCGACTAACAACAAATTTAAAACACTTCATTGTAAAAGCAGCATAAAATACAGTATAAAAACATTGATAACAATAAAATTCAAAATTCAGAAATCAATGTAGGGGAAATAAGCATTAGATAATCACCAGGGCTAGCTGGCTGAACTTGGGCCAGTGAGGAGGCCAGGGGAGAATTAGCTGTGGGGTCTCAGAGTGGGTAATCTTCATAAAAGGGGAGGGGGAGGGAAGAGAAGGGAAATAAAAGACCAGGCTGAATTCAAATTAAAGACCAGATGGAATAGCTCTGTCTTGCAGGCCTGACGGAAGGAGGTTAAATCCTGAAGGGCCCTAGTCTCATGGGACAGAGCATTCCACCAGGTCAGAGCCATCACTGAAAAGGCCCTGGTGGAGGATAGTCTGGCTTCCTTAGGGCCCGGGACCTCTAAACTATGATTATCCATGGACCTTAAGGTCCTCTGTGGGGTATACCAGGAGAGGCTGTCCCGTAAATACGAGGGCCCTAAGGCACAAAGGGCTGATGACTTCCTTGTTCTGCAAGCAATCTCCTTTTAAAAATATGTTTTAATTAGTGTTCAAAAGGGTATTTCATTGATGGCTGCTGAGATTTCTACCTGGGGCGGTTATTGATTGACTACTGTTGTCATTGACTGTTGACTTTAAACTGATTTTACAGTGCTTGGTCATATTTGCGTTTTGCAGTTCTTTTGTTCCGGGATACCTGTTGTGCATTAAAGCTCATACCTTGGCTTGGGTCCCTTCGGGCAGAGCATGCAATGTATAAATATTGGCTGGGATTCAAAGCGCTATTTCAGGCACACCCAAAAGCTTGAACATACCCAGGTTTTTAAACAGCTGACCCTCCCCGCAATGCTATCTCCTTCGGAAATTCCCTCCAGTTTCAAAAGTGATTTCTCATGTGATGGTGGCAGTGGTTTGCTGCTTGAGAAACACAAGCCCAAAGCCCTGTTCTTGGGATTCTAGCCATAATAAATAATGTGGATGGAACCAGAAAGTGTGAGAGTACCACAAACCTGCAGGCCAGGTTGTTTCAGGCAAGGAAAATATAAGAGCAGCTCCGCACAGCCCCTTGAATTCTGGGAAATAATATACTGGAGCAGAAGGTGATGAATGGGTGAAAGAACACAGACCAAATGCTATGGGGGGAGAGCAATAGCGAATACATACTGGAAAACTAAAAAAAAACAGGAGTGGATTAGTTTGTTTGGGTTAGCGGTGATTTGTGAATGTAGAATGAGAGTCTATTCAGAGGCAGGTAATTAAACTGGCTACTATTTAACTTCATTATCAACTGTGAAAATATAAGAATTCCAAACTCACAGCTGGCTTATCAAACCAACAGTGCAGGACCAGTTGAGAGACTGTGAGACTCCATTAGTAATCCATATTATTGTAGGTAGCCTAGACAGTACTTTGAGGAAAGTTATTTCCTCCCTTGGGCAATTAATATTTATCGAGGAAACAAAACTAGAGAGTGAGTTTTGCATATATTCTCATTGCTCACCTTACAGACTCGGCCAACTCGGGAAAGGATGGTTTTGTCAGAGGTGCTGCTATCTTGAGAAACTTCTCGGAAAAAGAAATAGATTTTGTCATCGTCTGGATTATATGTGTCCGGGATAGGGAAGAGTCCAATAAACTTTGCTCCTAAAAGACACCCAAAATACCAAACATTGTAAATGCATTGATCTGTGTTTTCTAACTCCTATGAGATGACACAAGACACTGAAGCTGGTGCAGAAGGAAGACTTCCTACCCTGAACCACAATGGGGTCTCCAGATCTTGATGGACCATCAGCCAGCATCAGCTGGCACTGATGGAGCAGTTGGAATCCATTCAACGTCTGGAAGGCCACAGTTTTCTCCATCCCTGGGTGGTGGGATTGTGTGCTCTTCACCTCTTCTTTCTCTGAAGTCAAGTGTGGTGAACCTCTGGCCCTTTGGACATTGCTGAACTAAAAGTCTCATCACCCCCTGGCCATTGGCCAAGACTGCTGGAGCTGATGGAATCTGTAGTTCAGCAACAGCGGCAGAACCTAAAGTTTCCCCACACTTGTCCTAGGTGAATTCCTCATTGAACAATCAGAATTCGTCTTACACTTCTGATTCTAATGCAATGTCGGCCATGACACAAAAGAATGGAAGTCAAAGGTAACATTGTCATACTGTTAACCACCAGGGTCATTCAGTCATCCTGGCTTGCTACCATAGGAAACCACTCATTCATCTACAAGCATTTTGTCATTTAGGCCAGATTCACTCCTGTTTGCATGAACTGGACCAGCATGCATGCATACTATGTCAATATGATTTGTCATCCAGAGCATGGTGTGGACGTGACTTCCAGTGTGCATTTAAACTCATCGCCAATGTGTCTGTGTGAATGGGGCCCTCACACATTCTTGGCTTCTTTTCCATGGCATCAAGCTCCCTCCTTTTAAAAGTGTTTGAGCAAGAGTCCCAAGACCGTGCTTAAATAGTTTTTAAAATGAATCATTGTTGGCAATGCACATCACTTTTAAAGAAAGGGCTAATGTAAGCTCCACTACATCTCTGTACAAATCAGGAGGAGGAGGCAAAGCCAAGGCAGAGACTGACTCATGCAGAGGCACAACAGGCAGCCACCTGTAACATCAATTCTGCTGCAATCTGCAATAGGAGAAACACATTACTCAGTATCACTCCCAGCAGAAAGTGGTCTGGAGGAGTAAGATTAGAGCAGGGAGGCTGCAATGTTATACACACTTACATGGGAGTAAGTAAGTTTCATGGAACTCAGTAGGACTTGTGTCTGAGTATACAGGCTTGCATAGGATCAGAGGCTGCTCTGAGAGTGGAGACTCTGAGCTCTCAGAATTTCTTGGTGTTTTCATTATCCTGCACAGGGACACTTTATAGGTCACAAGCATCACTTATTGTGAAGAAGCTTGCACAGTCTTCCATTTTAGTTCCACCGCAGACCCATAACATAGAGTTTTGGAACACAAAAATTATGTCTTGTACCAGACAAGACTCTTAATCTCAGGGTTGTGAGTTTGAGCACACTTTGCTCCCACACAGCTATCTGTCTGATGACTACGACATCTTTTCAAGTCCCAGAAGGATATGAGGCAGAGCTCAGGCAAGGGAGATAGGCCTGGCTGTTCTCTCTCCCTCCCCCAGCACAGAAATGCAATAACACAATAACATAAATACAGCAGGTGAAGAATCCCCCATCACATTTTTATTGCTTTGACTTCCTGGAATTCCAACTTTTCTTTGTTTGTATGCACTTTTATACAACTGTTTTACTGGGTTTGTGCGGCATTTTTGTTTTACTGATGAAGTTTATTGCTTTTATGTTGTTCAGAGATTTTAAAATAGTAAGCCGCTTATAAACACCTTTAAATAAATAAAATAACAGGGCCTCAGCATCTTTTTAAAAGCCTGGGAAAGGACTGGTCCTTCTGAGACCTGCCACTAGTTCTTGCCCTAAGAAATTCCCCTCTGCTGATTCAGATCATTGCTCAGCCAGGTCAGCTCTGGGAGAAGTCCGTGACCTATTGCCTGTTACTTAGGATCCTTTTAATTGGAAATGCTGGTTAACTGAACTTAGGAGTTTTTGTTCTCTACCACTAAGCTGTGGACTTTTCCTTGCAGTGAAGTGAACTATTCAGCTGAGAGAACAAAATATAGTTGAAAAAAGGGGAAAATCTGTCTCATTCCTATATAAGCAATTTAATACTAATTGCACAATTACTTAAGTGTGCACCATTTTTCATGGAAGGCCGAAACAAGAATGGGTGGTTTAATCTTTAGTGTGTGTGTGTATATTTATGTGTCTGTGTTTTCTTTAATTGTAATACTATCATCAGCCAATTTCTTGACACCAGAACACCCAGAAAATACAAACTTTACGTCAATTTTAATAGTGGTCTTTTTGTTGGAGTGAAACATGATTACATTGAGAAAGCAATTTTGGGAATCTCTTGAACTTTAGCAGAATAACACAAATTCTAAAAGCATTCGACTTAAGACATTATGTCAGATTTCAGACACACTAACAGACACAGAACAGAAGAGAACAGAACAGGCCAGTGTGCTTAGAGACTGAGACCTGGGTTCAAATTTAAAATCCTTTAAAAAAGAAAAAGTAATTCGACTCAGCTGTGAAGTTCAATGGGTAAGATCCTTGGATGAGATCCTATTCCTTTGTCTAACTCTAACCTACCTCACTGGGTTGTTACAGGGGATAAAATACGATTCCCACTGCCACCACATACACGTGAAACTCGGAAAATTAGAACATCGTGGAAAAAATTCATTTATTTCAGTAATTCAACTTAAGTAGACCATCCTCAATCATCTCTTTGAAGAAAGGAAGCCTGAACTACAATATACTAATGAAACATTCATTTCTTCTGTGAAAAGTCTTCATGGCACCATACGAATGTTTTGGCATTCAAGCCAGGCGTGGAAACCTGGTGCTCTCTGCCTGATGCCAGAATGCAACTCCAATCAGCCCCGTCCAGTAAGGACAATGGTCAAGGGTAAAGGAGCTCTAACAATGTCCAGCGGGTTCCCAATCTTTCTCTAAGCTGATGTGTTCCTTTCAAATGCAATTGGAGCCAATTAATATGGTTCCCTTTGCAGTGCGGTTCCACAAAGGCTGGCTCCTACATCTGTGCAACACATGGATGTCTGCCTCAGCTCGATAGGGTGACCCAGAGAGATGTGGCCCATAAGAATCCCACAACCAGGCAGTCCAACAAAATCGAGAACTCTATCAGAGCCAAGGCCATGCTTCTCGCGCAGCTTCCCTGTGCTGAAACCACAAGCAACAAGCTGCAAAGCAACACTGAATGAAAGCACCTGCTCTGGCCCTAAAGGTCCGTGTTCAAAAATACTAAATGGTGAAGCCAGGGAACATCTCCGCATTCCCAACGGCCAACGAGAAATAAGTATTACATGATGTAACAGTTCCCCTGCTGGTGCTTCCCCTCCGAAGGGACTTCTGAAGTGACGTCCCCTCTCCATGGTCTTGGTGTGACCCAAGAGGCAGTCAAGGGGAGCAGCTTTGCAATCGCATCTGTGTCACAACTATATCTGCTTTAGACTGTGCGCCTGCTGCAGTAAAGGTAAAAAGGTAAAGGACGCCTGGACGGTTAAGTCCAGTCAAAGGTGACTCTGGGGTTACAGCACTCAACTCGCTTTCAGGCTGAGGGAGCCAGCGTTTGTCCACAGACAGCTTTCCGGGTCATGTGGCCAGCATTACTAAACCATTTCTAGTGCAACAGGACACTGTGACGGAAATCATAGCGCATGGAAACACCATTTACTTTCCCACCACAGCGGTATCTATTTATCTACTTGCACTGGTGTGCTTTCGAACTGCTAGATTGGCAAGAGCTGGGACAGAGCGATGGGAGCTCACTCCGTTACAGGGATTCGAACAGCTGACCTTCTGATCAGCAAGCCCAAGAGGCTCACTTCGGCACCACCATGAAAGAGAGGGAGGCTGGGGAGGGGACATTGTTTCAACTGCTCCATCTAGTTGTTGCTATGATGCTTCCCTGTGTCCTCAAAGGTTGTCCTTAACCTCTTCCCTGATTCTTTCTGCATTCCAGGGCAGACATACAGATAGTCTCGCCTTCAGTTCTCTTTTCTGCTACCTTTCTCCAAAAGCTCCAAAGCTGCTTCCAATTCCCATTTCTCTTCACTTGTTTGCATAGAGCCATTTCTCAGGCAAGTATCACTGTGACCTTTCAGGGAGGCTATTCCTACCATTCCCTTCTGACTACTTAGGCCAGCAGCACAGCACCACCATGGGTCTGCTACGGCGGAGGGCTTCCCCACTCAGAGCCACTTCTGTTGATTTCTATCATATTTGTGCAAGAAAAGAGCTCAGTGACAAAAGGATGGGACACCTCCATGGGCGGCTTCATATCTTGCCATTAAGGAGGGCATAGGATATAGGATCAGCGCACAGAAATGCAGTGAAGGTTGCCAGGGAGTGAGAATTCAAAAAGCAGAGCATTGTCTTGCTGAAGGCTGCAAGGCATACAATGGCCCTTCTGTGCATTGCTGGGAAGTCACCATGTTCTTTTGGTCAGGAGATCTTTGCTTTGCAAGTCATCCATCACAACCGCAGAGTAACCCTGAATTATGGGAAGCCAGGTCCTCCATGGAAGAGACAATTAATGGCCAAAAGAAACACATTTAAATATCCGGTTGACGGACTGTGTATAAAATGTGTCTTTAAATCTGTGTCTGTGGTTTGGGGTATTGCTCGAGAGTGTGTGTATATGTGTGTGTGTGCATGTGGTGATTTTTAAAAGCGTTCACTAGTGTTTAAAAATGATCTTATTAGGAAAGGAAAAGCAGTACTTCCATTTAGGAAGCTCTTTTAATGTTCCCCTTAGTGGTATTTAAACTGCTTTTTGCAGGCATGAAATGTACCTTTATGGTCCAAAAGAGAGATGTTCCTATCTAAGGAGATTGGATTTCAACCTCAGTGTTTCAGAGAGATACAGATAACTGGTTTTGATCTAAAATTAACTGTTTAAAAGACATACATGAAGGCTGCATTCCTAAATTGGGTGGGTGGTGCCAGTAAAAAGTGAAGCCAGATCAACCACGTTACCCAAAGCCCTGCTGGGCTCCTACAGGAAGGGCAGAGAAGGGAGAAGGGAGCAATATTCTTGCTCTCCTCTATTACATACATTAATGGGGGGGGGAATGCTACTGCTGCTACTACTTCACAGATCTTGTGAAGAACCATTTTTGTAGAAGCCTTATACACGCAAGGCAAATAAATATCACTTTTGCTGAAGACTTCAGGATTAACATTTTTTTTTAAAAAAAAAGCAAATTGAAATTGCAACACCCCACCCCAAACAACAACACAAGCTTCCATTTCGCCCATTGTGAGGCATGATAATTGAGGCCGGTGGTGTTTGCTCTTCCACAGTTTCTGTTTCCGTTTGCTTGTTTTCGTTTCAATTAGATGTGCGGGTATAAAACATCTGCATGCATACCGCCTATGCGGCATACTGCATGCATGGAAAATTGAGGAGGAATGGTTGGGTGTAAGAACAGAGAAGTACAGCCAAGCCCCACCTGCTGGTGTGGAGCTCGCATCTGGAAGCCTGTAGCCAGGTTTATTTGGAAAACTCCAGATTAGAACGCACATGTCTAACTTTGCTGCACATTCTGTTTTCCTAGGGTACCTGCCTGCCTAGGCAAAACTGGAACATAAGAAGCTGCCTTGTTTTGGGGCAGACCATCGCTCCATGTTGCTCAGCAATTGTGTAACCAGTGACTAACAACCAGGGTTGCAGGAAGGGAATATTCCCAGCCCTAACTGGATATGCCAGGGCTACTCTGCCAATGAGCATCAAATCTGCCTTAGATCAAGGTACCTAACGAAGTGTAGGCTTTGCATTCTAAGCTGCTTTCCTAGGCCAGGACTTTATGGCTTCTTGCTATTTCTGCAGAGCTAGAGATGTAAATTTCAATGGTAATTTGTTGGCTGCAGTGGCACGAACAGTTACGCATATACACATATCTATTCCAAACATGGAACTGCCCTGTACAGAAGTTCCAGGTGTTCATCAGAGCACCTGCAGAGGGTTGGGTTGAGGCCTTGAACCCAACAGAAGGAAATACGTCAGGATGTTGTACAGATGACAACTAGACTATGCAGTAAAACAGGTTTCTGGGCACAAAAACAGAGACTGTGCGTTCCCTAGTGACACACGCTTAGTTCTCTTACCACTGAGCCAGTAATGTTCTGAAATATCAGTCCGGATGTAATGGTGGTCTTGTGACGAACCCAAAGAACGTGTTAAAGCAGTGTCTTTGCCAAGGAAATCAGAGGCCGTTCCAGAATACAGATATTCATCTACAAATGGAAAACAAACAGAAACACATTATTTAGGATTGAGGTATGCAGACAGTGGTTGCTCTTATTTTGTAGACAATCTCAAAAGAGGCATGTAGGCCTGTGATCTCAGAACCGTTGCAAATGTTGTTGTTTTTCTCCTCCCTGGAGCCAAAAACTTTACTTTCATTTTTAAAAAACACAACCTGCCTAGATTGCTCAGTTACTCCAGCATTCCAGTGGGCAGCCAAATGCTCACAGTTGGAGAGTGGAGGGGATGGCCTCCCATTGTAGGTCCCTTGAATCTGAAATTCAGAGGAGCAAGGGGGAGCTGCAACAAAATGTAGCAGTGTGCCATTCCATCAGCCATGCCCCTTCTCCATTCCAGTCTGCTTTGCGCCCCCACAGCTCCCCAAAACCCAGCCACATTCTGCACTCTGTGGCAGCTAGGCACACTCGGATCACACTATTGGGATGTTTCGGGAGTTTCTCCCACTTAATAGACTTTTTTAAAAAAATATTTACATGCTTCTGCAAATCTCAGGGCTCCACTTAACCTGTGGGTGCTTTGTTCATGTGTGTGGTGCTGTTTTGTTCCAGCCTTTCTCAACCTGTGGTTCCCCAGATGTTGTTGAACTACAACTCCCATCACCCCTAGCTAGCAAGGCCAGAGCTCAGGGATGATGGGAGTTGTAGTCCAACAACATCTGGGGGAAATCGAGGGCAAATCAGACATTGAGGGAACGATGCCATTTCCGTATCCAGAGGTTCTGTTCAGACAGCATTCCGAATCCATCTACAAATTCACTTGCATCAGCTGATACTGCAAACCAGGAGCAGCACTTTAAAGCAGAAGACTGTGAGGTGTTTAATTATTGCATCAAGTGACAGGAAGACAGACAGCCCTCCGTTCAATAGCTGTGAGCTTGTTACACTATCCAAAACATGATTTGCATGCAGTATCCTTACCAAGCAAATCCTCTGTCTCTGCTTATTTTTCTATATCCATTTGACCCCATTGTTTTCAAATTATTCCAACACCGTTTGACATCTGTGGACACCTGAGCTTACCAACTTCCGTACGCACCGTCTATAATAGCTGAACGAACAACTTCAAAACACTTTTTTTAAAAAAAAATCAATGTGAAAATGTCCAAATCCTTGATTTAGGGCCAAACCAGATGTGATTGTAAACATGTGGCTGACATACAAAGCACTAGCTGTGCATTTTATCTCCCCGCCCCCATGCAACATTTAGGAAAACTTATCCAGTCCTGTACCCTTCTCTGCGACTGGCAGCCGATGATATGGAGAGGGGAGGAAGAATGCAGTATGTCAGAGCACAAGGCAAACTCTTCCAGATAGTATAGAAAGGAAGAGGGGGGGAGATCACCAGAGGCTGTTTTCAGCATCAGTCATGGTTTTAGTATTACATCTAATGGTGTCTATAGAAATTTGATAAAACAAAGTATGCTTTATGTGTATACAGTCTTCTTCTTCTTCTTCTTCTTCTTATTATTATTATTATTATTAACAAACAGAAGAGTGTTTTTTAAAAAAAATTCCCCATTTTCAGATGACACAAGTCCTTTGTGCAGTGATCACAACACATTCTGAAAGGTAGGAGTCGTAATGAAGAATGAATGGTGTAATTAATGTCTGCTAACTGACAGACATGCTCAGTGACTGATAAAAAGGGTTAAAAGAAACAGCCCATCTTGCTTTAACCTCTGGTGACAAGGACCTTTCAGCACTTGGCTTGTTCTTTGATCTCCTGCATGCCTGTTAGCTCCTATGAAGAGCCTGGAGATCGTGGATTGTTAGAAGACAGAGAACATGGAGCAGTGAAATAACAGTGGCATACGTAAGAAGCGATGTGCTTGCGTGCATCAGTTAAGTTGTTTGGGTGCACTTTGTCAAGCGGGTTTCCAAAAAAAGGATAATGTTCATTTAAGTCATTTCCAGATTTATTTCCATTTCAAACGTTGGCTCACACATCAGCTTTTCTCCGTGTGATTTTTCCAAAGAATTCCCAGGTACCATTGCTGCCAAACTTCCCCTAAAGGGCATCTGAAGTTACTGCAGGAGTTCGGTCTCAGATAAAACAGCTGAGGGCACTCCAAGAAAAGCCCAAAGAGATTCATTAAGAGAGAAAAGTCTCTCTCTCTCTCTCTCTCTCTCTCTCTCTCTCTCTCTCTCTCTCTGTGTGTGTGTGTGTGTGTGTGTGTGTGTAGGGAGCAGGAAGAAGACCCTCTCTAGCTGCAGATTTCACAGAGAAACATATACAATCAACAACAGTTGGAAGCCATTTCTACAGTCCTGCTGTCACATCCACCATGTTCATCGGAAAAAATCTGAAGGCACCATTAATAGTTGTATAGAAGATGGAATTTGGGGAGATACAGTTTTGTCATAGAATCATAGATTTGTAGAGCTGGGACTCCAATCCTGTGCAATGCTGGAATTTCAGCTAAAGCAGACATGACAGATGGCCATCCAACCTCTGCTTATAAACCTCCAAGGAAGGAGAGTCCACCACCTCCCAAGGGAGTCTGTTCCACTGTCAAACAGCTCTTACTGTCAGAAAGTTCGTCCTGATGTTTGCTGGAATCTCCTTTCTTGTAACTTGAAGCCATTGGTCTGAGTCCTACCCTCCATAGCAACAAGCTTGCTCCCTCTTCCACATGACAGCCCTTGAGATATTTGAAGATGTCTATCATATCTCCTCTCAGTCTCCTCCAGGGCCATCTTTAGCAGATGCGGCGCTGAGGTGCAAATATCCACCCAGCACCCCCAAATTACCACGGATAGTGGGGGGGGGGCAAGCTGCCCACTGCCAGCCATATAGTTGGTGGGGAGCAGCTTCCATCCTAAGCCTCTGCAGGGATCGCTCTCCTCCCATGGAGGCTTGGGAGGGAAGCTGCATGCCCACCAGCCATATGGTTGATGGGGCACAGCTGGTGGGCATGCAGGGAAAGGGGAGGCCACCGGCAAAGCCTCGCAGCTCCCCCACTCGTTGGGGCGCCCCAGAGAGGCCGGTGCCCTGGTGCACCACTAAGCCCTATGGGAAAGACGGCTCTGGTCTCCTCTCATCCAGGCTAAACACTCCCAATCATTCCCAATCATAAGGCTTGGTTTCCAGACCCTTGGTCATCTTGGTTGCCCTCCTTTGCACATGTTCCAGCTTGTCAACATCCTCGTGGTGCCCAGAACAGGTGTGGTCTGACCAAGGCAGAATATTACTTCCCTTGATTGGGACACTACATTTCTGTTGATACAGCCACTGTTCCTTGGGATTCCATCTTCTTCCATGAAGTCTCTAAGAAGGGGACACATTGCTGACTGTCTCCCTGTGTTCTCCATCCTTCACATCTTCAGAAGGATTCAGATTGCCCATGACAATCCACCCCTCTTCCCCTTTGCATCTGTGTCCATGCCTGTGCCTCAGAAGAGCTGGCATGATGAATGAAGACAGCAAACACAGGAACCAGCCCCTTCACCTTGGGCCCTGCCTCCAAACAATGTATTTGCCAAGGAGCCTGTCTTGTTCTTGCCACTCCTGTGGTAAGCTTTCCCGCATAGAAAGAGCTGGAGATTAAAGGCTGCCTTTGCTCTTTGGCACTGCCACATTGGAGTCTGCTTTAAGTTGCTCCAAGTCTAAGTGGTGGCAGAAAGCTGCTGTACCAATTCCATCTAAAGCATGAGAGCCTTTCCAAATGTTTGTGGCGATGTGGAGAAAGCAGAGCAAACCACACCATGAGCCACTGCACAATAATAAAACAGTTGCCATGCAGAGAGCTTTTGATTTCAGCTGGCCTGGCCTAGGATATGATGATTCTGTACCCAAATCCTGGCACAGAATGAGCCCTGTTTTCCACCCTTTGCTGGTGGTACAGAAGCAGTGGATTTTCAATGGCTCCTGAGCGGAAGCTTGAACTGAAAGCTGTCAGTTTCCCTGGCCAACCCCAAAGTGCTCAGATCACCTGCCAATCAAGGGAGAAGGAGCAGATGTTACACCGCAATTCTCATCTGACCTGAAGGGGGCTAAAGCCTTACCATGGCTGTGCGCAGAAGGTGGACAGAAGATCATACAGGATTTCTGGATCTCAATTATCCAGTAACAAAAAGACCAATGAGGAAGAATGCTGTTGCCCTCAAGTTCTGCCTACGGTCTTCCCATAGGCATCTGGTAGGGTCCTATGTGAACCAGATGCTAGGGATGATGCGCCTTTGACCTGATTCAACAGGGCTCTTATGTTCTCATGCCTATTTTTAATTGACTGATCAATGGACAAGTTGCATATCTCTGAGCCTTGATGTTCCCCTGCTCTAAAATGAAACTTTATGTTTAAGAGAGCTGGCGCAACTTGTTCATTAAGACTGTTTATCATTATTGTAATTATTATTATCTCTTGGCTGCCTTTGGGGAAATGGTTTCTCTCTCAACTGCAGTGATTCTCACCTGTAAAATATCTGCATTAATGGTTGCCATTGACCAGGTGGTTGTGCATTCCTCCTGCCTATTTTTCACATTTTGTTTGATTCCCTTCCCTGCTGTAACTCAGATGTAGATTTGTACTGATATAGGAAGGCGATCCCAGGGTATGGCTCATGGGGTGCCTGACATAGTTGGTTCAGTTCTCTAAACTGCCAGTTTCCATCTGGCTCCCCCTCCCATCGCTTAAATCTTGCCTTGGTTGGTAAGGTAAAGGTAAAGGTACCCCTGCCCGTACGGGCCAGTCGTGTCCGACTCTAGGGTTGCGTGCTCATCTCGCTCTAGAGGCCGTGAGCTGGCGCTGTCCGAAGACACTTCCGGGTTACGTGGCCAGCGTGATGAAGCTGCCGCTGGCGAGCCAACACCAGCGCAGCACACAGAAACGCCATTTACCTTCCTGCTATAAAGCGGTACCTATTTATCTACTTGCACTTAAGAGTGCTTTCGAACTGCTAGGTGGGCAGGAGCTGGGAGCTCACCCCGCCGCGGGGATTCGAACCGCCGACCATACGATCAGCAAGTCCTAGGCACTAAGGTTTTACCCACAGCGCCACCTGCATCCCTTGGTTGGTAAAGGTAAAGGTACCCCTGCCCGTACGGGCCAGTCTTGCCAGACTCTAGGGTTGTGCGCTCATCTCACTCTATAGGCCGGGAGCCAGCGCTGTCCGAAGACACTTCCGGGTCACGTGGCCAGTGTGACAAGCTGCATCTGGCGAGCCAGTGCAGCACACGGAACGCCATTTACCTTCCCGCTGGTAAGCGGTCCCTATTTATCTACTTGCACCTGGGGGTGCTTTCGAACTGCTAGGTTGGCAGGCAGGTGTCCTTAAAAACCCACCTCCCTAGAGTCTCTGGCCACAGGGTTTGCAATTTGAGCCCTGGACACTTGGACACATCCTAAAAGTGGACTCTGTTCATAGAACAGATTCATTGTTAGATATATTATGCTTCCACCAACTCAGCTATTGACGCATCCTCTCCTTGTGACATTTCAAAGGTGCAGCAATGTTTCTTAGAACATTGCTTAATTCTGTAATAAATCATTGCCTTTGTATCAAAGAAAAGCGAGACTAGGGGAATTTTCCAAGCTGTCTTTAAAGAATGCTTTAGGGTCATTTAAAAGAGGTAAAACATTCCAAGACAGGCAAGTCCCATTGTTGCTGTTTTTTAATAATGGAAGTCTGGGACCTCAGCAGGGTCAGGCAATAGGAATCATCAATCTCGTTATCCGAGAATAAAGGGTGAACATTAGTCATATTCTTTTTATAAATACACTGTGACCAATCCTTCAAAGAAACTTCTCTTTTGGCACAAGTCAGAATGCCAGGGTGGATCTCTCTTATCTTCTGTAAGGCATACAACTTGATGGACAAGTAATGAAAATGTGGAGGTGCTCAGAAACAATAACTGTGACAAAGATAGCCAAAGTACATGCAGAAACAGAGGAATTAGTCTTACAGTGCATGACAGTGAGTATCTGACTCTACTCAAAGCTACGATTCAAAGGCAGGAAGAAGACTGGGCGGTATTGTACATTCATGTCATGTCTTACAGTGCAAGTTTAATCACGTCTACTCAGAAGTAGGTCCTATTCCTTTCAGTGACTTCATTACTTCCAGGTAAGTGGGGCTAGGTTAGCAGGCATTTTTGTACACAGGGTTGTGTCGAAATTTCTCAGAAAAAAAATGATTTTCTGACCAAATCCTTCATTCCACAATATGAGCTAAAAAGGGTTTCATTCTACATTAAGGGAGCCAAAATACCTCAGAGGAAGAAAATATCAGCCCCCCACAATCTATTTGACAAATTCCCACCCACCCTAATTGTGCCACCTACAAATAGAGTAGATAATTTGGGGGAGTTGTTTTCACTCAGCCCTAGTAAGAAACAGGTCTTTCTGCAAGCGAATGTGTGTCCCTTAGGGCTTGTCCACACTTTACTTTTGCTAGCTTCCAGGCACAGGTCCATGCTTTGAAGCTCCGAGTAATTTTTATTTTCTTTCTTTTTTTTTTGCCCTGGAGCTTTTCTCATGAAAACCCTGGTTTTCCTTGGGTTGCTGGTTGCTCCAGTTCAGCTTTGAAGAGCGGGTTTTCATGGAGACTGCTCTGGAGGTGGAAAAGAGTACTCAGAAATGGAGCTTTACAGCATGGCCTGTGCCTGGAAAGCGATGAGGAAAGGTCAGTGTGGAGAAGCCCAGAGAGAAAAGCATACACAAATATGACATAAATGAAGGAGCTTGGAAAAACTGGCTATGTTGATTATGACAGGCATGTTCTTAAAATACAATCAGATACATGGGACGGGAGGTGGCATTGGGGTCTAAACCACTGAGCCTCTTGGGCTTGCCGATCGGAAGGTCAGTGGTTCGAATCCCCAAGACGGGGTGAGCTCATATTGCTCTGTCCCAGCTTCTGCCAACCTAGCAGTTCGAAAGCACACTAGTGCAAGTAGATAAATAGGTACCGCTATGGCAGGAAGATAAACAGCATTTCCATGCACTCTGGCTTCTGTCACAGTGTCCTGTTGCACCAGAAGCATTTTAGTCATGCTGGCCACATGACCCAGAAAAGCTGTCTGAAGACAAAAACCAGCTCCCTCAGCCTGAAGCAAGATAAGCACCGCACCCCATTGACTGGACTTAACCATCCAGGGGTCCTTTACCTGTTACCTTTTTTTTTAACTTCAAATAAATTGGGTAAGTGTTCCATATGAAGCTGCATGTGACGCGGCAGCTAAAAAAGCCAATGCAATTCTGGGCTGCATCAATAGGAGTATAGCATCTAGATGAAGGGAAGTAATAGTGCCACTGTATTCTGCTCTGGTCAGACCTCACCTGGAGTACTGTGTCCAGTTCTGGGCACCACAGTTCAAGAAGGACACTGACAAACTGGAACGTGTCCAGAGGAGGGCAACCAAAATGGTCAAAGGCCTGGAAACGATGCCTTATGAGGAACAGCTAAGGGAGCTGGGCATGTTTAGCCTGGAGAAGAGGAGGTTAAGGGGTGATATGATAGCCATGTTCAAATATATAAAAGGATGTCACATAGAGGAGGGAGAAAGGTTGTTTTCTGCTGCTCCAGAGAAGCGGACACGGAGCAATGGATCCAAACTACAAGAAAGAAGATTCCACCTAAACATTAGGAAGAACTTCCTGACAGTAAGAGCTGTTCGACAGTGGAATTTGCTGCCAAGGAGTGTGGTGGAGTCTCCTTCTTTGGAGGTCTTTAAGCAGAGGCTTGACAACCATATGTCAGGAGTGCTCTGATGGGGTTTCCTGCTTGGCAGGGGGTTGGACTCGATGGCCCTTGTGGTCTCTTCCAACTCTATGATTCTATGATTCTATAACCAACATGCTTAACTCTAGTTAAGACCATAGAGTAAGCTGTCCTGCCAGGCTCGGTCACCCCCCCCCCTTACCTTGGGAGGAAGGGTTACCAAACTCATGGTTCTCCCAGTCCACCATGTGAACCCTACCAGCAAGGAGGTCTAAACTGGAGTGCACGGCTTAAGTAAGCCATTTTTATATTTCAATACAAATAATTTTAAAACTCTTGCTACTTTGGAACGTACGTTTTACTGCCTGTCCTTTCTGAATGCTGTGTGAAAAAGCACATGTATCTGAGCTTTGAAGAGTTTGTAAGAGGTTTTAACTTACCAAACATGTGGCCCTTTTCTATGCTAAGGGAAGCGGGAAGCAACTTATATTTCAAAGGTCTAACAGCCTATATTCCTACACTGTATTTTGCTGCATATTTTGTGATTTCAAATCTCTGCTAGGGCTCTCTCACCAAAGAGCAGTTGCCCAAAACCTGGATCTTAATCATCCAAGGAATTATCCTTTTTAATTTTACCTAGTATTTTTCGCCAAAATACTAAAAACCAATAAAGAACTTGCTGGATCGTGCCAGTGGCTTATCTAGTCCATGACTCCTGTCCCTCCTGCAGTTTCCAGCAACTGGTATTCAGAGGTATACTTCTTCATGTAGGTACAGCTTTCAAGTGTTTGCCTCATATGCAGCTTTCAAGTGCGTGCATCGTAATCCTTACGACAACCTTGCAAAGGAAGGTTGCCATTATTAGCCCAATGCTGGAGACTGGAGAGGGGGGAAGTGGACTGGGCCTTAGTTTGCCATATACCAGGTTCATTACAGGAAAGGGAACTTCCTGGTTCATAAGAGTCACTCAGCCAATATGCAACACCAGGTTTTAAACTGAATGTTCTTCTTATACTATGATGAGTGGGAAATCATTGCTTCTGCTAAACTCTTACCTGCCATGACAGATGCAAACGGCTGCTGAGGATCAAAAGGACATTTCAGTCTCCCAGACTCCAAGTTGTGAGCATCAAATCTGAATGCCACATCCTGCGTATAAAGGATATGTTCATTAGTCCAGGAGTGGTCTGATTTCTAACGTAAAAGCCCATATAGGAAAAGGCAGCAAACTGAATTATACGGCTCAGATTTTCTTTGCCGCTTTCTATAGCTGCCTAATATTGCCCTTTCATGTGCAGATTTATGTTCTTGTCTCTAAAAAGCAAAGCATTAAACTGATGATGCTGTATATGTTACAAGTCAGCCTAGTTTGGGCAAGGGGAGAGCTCTGTCAAGCTGCGTAGCACTGGGATGCTCAGCGATAGCTCTGCTTGTTCACAGTACAAGGTTTACACCCTGCTCAATGGAGCCACAGCCTGGTCACAACATATATGTGTACTGACATGTTTATCTTCCTAAAGGCAAAGGCAGGCACAGCGTAAAAGGACAACTCACAAAAAAGTTTCCCCACAACTTTGCAGCTGAACTGACAGGCTGGTCTTGTACTTTCCACCCCCTTCAACTCAACTGCCTGACTACTACTCTTGCCTCTGCAGTGAGGGAAAGTGAAGAAGGCATCCCACCAGCCGCGGAAGTGAAAGGACCGCCCATTCCTCCATTTGCAGCAGGCTGGAGCATGGTGAGCCCAATCCTCTGACTTTGTGCTGGGATCCAAGGAAGAGAAGGAGGGAAGGGCACCAACCTCTTCCTGGACCCATGCAAAAGAACAGGACATTCTCTACAGCTGTCTCTGGCTGGAGAAGGTGGTAGCTGCTGCAGGAGAAGGAAAGGCAGAGTCTCTGGAGAATGGAGGTGTTGGTGCTTAGGGAGAAGACTGACACCTGAGCTCAGAGTTCATTTGCAGGTATGCATATCTGTGAACTGTGGCTGCTCCTCTTCTTCATGACTCTCTTCACCTGAACGGTGCTAAGAGACTGCTTTGAAAGACTAGCATGCTATCCCTCCAGGATAATGAACTCTTCAAATCTTTTACATGCAAGAAAGCCTGATTAAAAATATGTGGGATGACTGGTGAATGATAACATAACCTTGCAAGGCCAAAACCTGAAGGGTTTTAGGTGTCCTGGAGGGCAAGGCAGTTGGTAGCAATAGCAACATGAACCTGCCATGTTCCAAAGAAGTATGCCTGTTAAGATCAGCTGCAGGGAAGGAACAGCCAGGGATAGCTGCACTCTTCCTACCCACTTTGTAAGCTCCCCGGGGGCCTCTGGCTAAAACTCTAATCTGATTCCGCAGGGTAGGTCTCACATCTGCAAGTTTTACGATAACCAAAGGCACGGCCATCTTGCTTCCATGAAATTAGACTTGGCATCGACTGCAATGGCAGAAGGCCTAGATTTTTTTAATCTCCTTGTGCTGAACTCTCTGACCCTTCTGGAGAGAGCCTTGCATAGTTTAAAACCAGGTTGTAAGCCATCTTATCACCAGCCAGACATTTATCTTTCTACAGAATGGCCCAGGACGGCAGGTAGCTGGCAGGTCTCAAAGGCTGACCAGCAGGCATGAAAAGCTCATTAGAGGAAGGAAGAACATCTTGAGATTTTTGCTTCCACAACAGGAGATTAGAGTCTCAGTTTGCAACAAATCGCAAGTGTGTTGTTTGATAATTACAAAGATTAGGATAATGGTCATCTGGCCCTTTGAAGCTACAGAATTAGATAGAAAGAACTTGGCACCACAGCACAGCTTGGCTTTTGTATAGAGGACGTCTACACTCAGCTGTGAGGCTCTTGCAAGATAAATTCCTTCTCTCCCACTTTCCCCCCTTTTGTTTTTGTCTCGATGGGGTGCTGACTATGTGTCTCAGAGACCTTCCCACCATCAGAGGCAGCCTTCATTTATCTATCTATTTATTTGTTTACACATTAAAAGCTTTCAGAATCTGCCCTTCAGCTAAAGGTCCCGAGGCGGAGGACCGTAAACATTCAAAATTAAGCATTAGCAACATGATGCGAAAGCAGAAACAAAATACATCACCGTTTAATTAAATGTGCAATCAATCTCAAAACAAAAACCACACAGTGGCGGAGAACTCTCAGTCCCCAGCACACCTAATGGAGGCATGATACGCCTTGCCGTTCCTTTACTTAATATTATTATTGCTCAATTTCTGTAGCATCCGTGTATAACGTACTTTGGAATGCTCATTCCATGTATCCTCTAACGAGCTCTGGGCCACATTCAGCTAAAGAGTTGTGCCAGTGGTGGCTAGTGCAATGAGCCCCCAAAGTGCAGGAAGACTCCCTCTCCCCAATGGAACGATCGACACAAGACTGGCTTCCACTCTAAGGATGGAGAGAGGTCCAGAGAGAAACATGTTTTAGCAGGGACTTGGACTGGAGTTGCCAATATCCAAATCCAGCTCTCTAGCCTGCCCATTTAAATGGGCCTAGTGTGCTTCCTTTCTCTGGCTACCATTCCCTGCTGGGGAAGGTCACACAAGCCATCTGGGTTCAATGGGCCCGTTGCACCATTAATCACCCGGAAAAGCCAGCCTGTGCAGAATGATATTAATCACCTTGTTTGAGCGCAGAGGTTTGCTAACGTGCAATGTGCACACATCAAAAATGTGAGAACATGAGTTCTTACACGACTGGCAAAAACTTAACATTGCCCCATTGTTTGTATAAAGGGCTGTCAGATCATTTTTTATATGGCCATAGACTGTATTTTCAAGGGAATGATGGATGCGAGGGAAAGTTAGAGCCATTCCTTGTCATGCACCATTTGGGAGTGGATTAAATTACCTCTTTGTGTGTTCCAAGCTCTATGTAGCCACAGACCGGGTGGAAAGCTCCCGTACCGCAGACATAAACATGGGTCCTGTTGTAAGGCTGTAGGACTCTGATGAAGTTGGCACATTCTGTCTATTGTGGAAAGAAGGGCAGAAATTATTCATCATCATTAGCTATGCAATATTCCATTCCATTCCATTGCCAGGCCAATATACTCCATGATGCCGAGGAAGGTTTGAAACAACTTGGAGAAATGTTTGGCAGAAAGCCGGCAAACAGGGTTTATTGTTTTAAAACTAAACATTGCATAACACCCAGCTTTCACACCAAACCATAGTTAAGGAAGCTGAACTGTGGCTTGGCGTCTGAATTGACAAACCATGATTTGTGATTGGGGAGTATACCAGAATCACAAATCATCGTCTGAAGTGGGTTTGCAAACCGTAGTTTGAGCTAAATATAGTCTAGTGGGACATCCAAACCAATAAATTACTGCATTACTTGATGGAAGCAATGGATTTGCAGAGATGGAGCAGGAAGAGAAAGACAATGAACAGATCAGAACAATTGTTTGAGCGCTGCACATCTAAAAGCTCAAACCATGGAACCATGGATTGGGTTCTAAATTTTTAGTGCCCGTGCTGGCTCCAGGTTTCGGGGAAAATAGATGATGCCTTGTTCCAAGTCAGACCATTAGCTCAGCATTGTCTATGCCAGGCATAGGCAAACTCGGCCCTCCAAATGTTTTGGGAATACAATTCCCATCATCCCTGACCACTGATCCTGTTAGCTAGGGATGATGGGAGTTGTAGTCCCAAAACAGCTGGAGGGCCGAGTTTGCCTATACTGACAGCATTTCAGACAAAGGATATTCTCAGCCCTACCTAGAGATAATGGGGATGGAGGTTAGGACCTCTTCCCTTGGGCAAGTGTGGTTTATTTATAACCTAGTCCAGGCATAGGCAAAATCCGGCCCTCCAAATGTTTGGGACTACAAATCCCATCATCCCTAGCTAACAGGACTAGTGGTCAGGGATGATGGGAATTGTAGTCCCAAACATCTGGAGGGCTGGAGTTTCCCTATGCCTGACCTGATCCATCTCCTTTGATCTCAGAGCAGGGCACATAATTCCTATAAAGCATACTTAATGATCTATAATATCCTCATTATATACAAGAAATGTCCTCAGTGGGTCCCCCTCCCTGAGTGGGTCCATCTCCTCCTCGCTGAGGTCTCCACTGGCCATTTAGGGGCCCTCTCTCTCCCTTCCCAACCACCCAGAAGCAAGTGGAAACTGCTGGTCTGGTGCCTCGCTCTTGCCACAGTTTGCAACCTCAGAGAAGACCAGTAAGCAGGCAGAGATGTCAAGGAGGCTCTGGGGATCAATGGTGTGCCCCCCAAAGGACGTGGTCCTCAGCAGCTGCCCAACAAAGCCTCCCATTGACTCTAGCCCAATGGTTTGGTGTGATGTCCAAACTAAGCTACTGGGGAAGAAAATGGTCTGGTTTGGACAGGTGGGGAGAAATGGAGAAATTAAGAACAGCTGTGCCCAGAGGATTGTGGGGCTTTAGCTCAGCACGGTGTGTGTTTGGCATTCAGGAGATTCATTGTTCAATTCTCATCTTCTTTATTGAAGCAACTCAGGCAAGAGCACATTTATCTGTCTGTGACTTCTGACTGTTAGAGACCACAGCACTGGGCTTGAGGGACCAATGGTCTTCTCTTGCATAAGCCAGCATCATGAGTTGGTTAAAAAATAATATTCTGCCATCAACTAATTACTGTAATATTAATGCACAAGTCTGCTTCTGTTAATATGCTGTGCTCAAGCTGTGCCCTGCACGTTCCTAGCAGAAACTGGCTTTTTCAACAGGCGTAAATGAAAATGGAGTAAATCCACATAATTTACAACTCTCACAGACTTCAAAGGGCTTATGCTGAATGATGGAAACCTACAAGCTCCATTCTGTAATGAATACTCCCCCTTCAATAGGGAGCATTGCCACAGTTCCACTTCAGTCAACGTTGTCCTTGAAGCGCCTTTATTATGCCTTGTTGTGATGGATCAGAGCATCTATTATGAAATACGCATTCAAAAAAGAGAATGGAAGGAAACCCTGCCTTACCAAGGCTTGACTCTTGTGCATCAATCACTCTGTATCAGTTGGCCTCACTTTCTTAACATCCCATCATTCTTGAACATGACTAAGGAACTAGAGCTGAGCTGAGGTTTGCCCCCCCCCCAATAATTGAAGGAGGTAGCGGAGTGAAAGATAAGATGAAAAAAAACCCCGATTTTGGAGTGAGTTATGGATATATACATCTATATTTTACGAAAGCAAATACATCTATATCTATATAGATCCCAGAGGGTGATAAACAATTGGTGATTCCTTTTTTATAATGATCATCTATGCCAGGCATAGGCAAACTCCAGCCCTCCAGATGTTCAGGACTACAATTCCCATCATCCCTGACCACTAGTCCTGTTAGCTAGGGATGATGGGAATTGTAGTCCCAAACATCTGGAGGGCCGGAGTTTGCCTATGCCTGATCTATGCTGCCACTTTCACCAACGGAAATACAACTGGTGACCCACTGGGTCACTCATCTTCTCGATGCGTCTCTGTTTGAAGGTCACGGCGTCAGAATGTAGGATTGTCCCACAGGGAGTGTTGGCATTAAAGAAGGTGACTCCACCACCTTTCTCTTCCAAACAATGCCTCACATTGCATTCAGCGGGGTTTACTCCAAGGTAACTGGGGACAAGACTGCAGCAGAAACCAACAAACAGATTTTAAACAGTGCCCACACAACTGAAGGCAGTTTCCATCTGCATGTACTGTACTCACCTGTGCATCTTTCCCAGCTAGTTTACATAAATCCACCTTGTCCTTTGTTGCTGGCCAATATATCTGCAATCAATTTAGAACAGGTGTTATAGTATTGGAAGATTTCACAATTTATATAGGTAAGGGTTTTGGTGTTGTTGTTTTGCATATCTGCATTCCTGTTCCTCCTTCAAGGAACTCAAAGAAAGGTTGGGGCAAAAAAATCATTTCCAGAACTCCCTCCTTGCAGGCACAGATCTCCATGCAGAAAGGCACTCACATTAAGCTGAGCAGATATTATTTCCCCCACTTTGCAACTGGCCTTGTAACTCATGCAAAGCAGCACGCAGGATGTGACCCATTCTCCCTGTTCTTCTCAGGGTCGTGTCCCACAAGGTGCTCACAAATGCAGCTGACTTCAGGACCCTCTTTTTACTTGCCTATCAGAATTTATCGTGCTTCAAGCTGTACATGTTTCCGGAACCCTCAGCGAACATGAACAGGGTCCTTCATTTTTATCCTTACACTCCCCCTCCCCACGCCCCAACGCAGGTGAAACAAAATCTCTTGTTCGAGGCATCACAGTGCGTCTGTTCTTGAAATCTAATTCCAGTAATTTTCCATAAGCCATATTTGGAGGAAAATACAGATTGCACTGACCTCACCTCTCTAGCTCACTACTGGGGTGATGTTAATGCTTCAAAAGCTCTTACTAAGAATTTTTTTTTTATAATGCTCAGATCAGAAATGAGCCTTTCCAAATGTCAAAACATACAAGACCATTCTTTAGCTTGATTCTTTAAAAGGATTTAATAGCAGTGCAGTGATAACTGATTATTCAGTAGGATAATGTCCAATGGTATTAGCTAATGTCCAGTATCATGGGAATCATCCATTAGCATTCTCCCAGCATGACCACTTGGAAGAACATCTAAACTGACTACTTAGAGAAACCCAATCCATGCCAAATAAACAATTAATCTACATTTTTACAGCAATCTCTCATATTGGAGTCTTTTAACTGCTTTAAACCTTCGACTGAAACTAGAAGCACATTAACAGTGTAATCAGAAATGGGATTCAGAGGAGGAGAAAGGCATCAAATCTACAACCACATACCGTATTTTTCGCTCTATAAGACGCACCTTTTTCCTCCTAAAAAGTAAGGGGAAATGTGTGTGCGTCTTATGGAGCGAATGCAAGCTGCGCAGCTATTGCTGAAGCCAGCAGAGCAAGAGGGAAAGCTGCGCAGCACCTCTTGTTGTGATGCCTTCACAGTGATGCACGATGAGGGACAGAAGGGAGCCCTTACGGAGCCCCTTCCGTCCCTCATTCTGCTTCGCTGGGAAGCCAGCAGACCAAGAGGCGCTGCACAGCTTCTCTCTTGCTCTGCTGGCTTCAGCAGAGCAGCGCAGCGCCTCTTCAGTAAAGCGGGAGGAGGAAAGGAAGGGGCTCCGTAAGGGCTCCCTTCCTTTCCTCCTCCCGCTTCGCTGAAGAGTGTCGCTTCGTCTCACCTGCCTCCTCCGATCCCCCCAGCAGGGACAATGCTGCTAAGCGGCCAGCACATCCAGCTTCCCCAAAGGGGTGGATGGACCAGAGGCTGCTTAGCCTGATCCTCCCTCCTCCCTCCTCCTTCCTCTTCAACAACATTAGATTCAAAATATATTTTTTCTTTTCTTTTTTTAAAGATATTTATTAAGGGTTTAATAATTACAGAATAAAGAAAGAAAAACAAAAAAAAAACAATAAAAAGTTCACAATACATCAAAAATAAAAGGAAAAAACAAAAAACAACACAGCAAAACAACAAGAGAAACAAAAACATTTAAAAACACATCCAGTATCTCTATATCTTTATCTTTCATTTACTTATATCGTCGACCTCCTCACACCTCCCTTTTTTGTATTCTTGTTCAATTAGCTATTTCAGCAAATCCTTTCCATCTTTCTTAATTTTTGTTCTATAATTTATCTTATCACAATCTAACCTTAAATTTCCACTTTGACCCATTAACAATCTATTTTTACTTAATTCTTTATAATATTTCTGCTAGAGCCATATAACTTCATTCCAGCATCCTTCTAACATTCATTAATTTTACAATATTTCTGTAAATAAACTTTAAATCTTTTCCACTCTTCTTCCACGACTCTTCTCCCTCAGAATATATGTTTTCTTGTTTCCCTCCTCTGAAAACTACGTGCGTCTTATGGTCGGGTGCATCTTATACAGCGAAAAATACGGTATATTTGAAAGAGGACTCCATGTGTGTTCAGAGTGGGGAAGTCTCATAACTTCTTATTGCTCTAGCTTCAGGCTTCTGTTGTAAAGCGGCCAAGAATCATGCCTCTTAGGAGAGCTGCAGGGTTTGGATCCCAAAGATCCTAAACTGCTCCCACCCTGCCCCCAAATGCCCCATTTCAGGATTTTCTGCTTGCTACCAGTGATGGAAAAACCAGCAGCAGTAGCTTTCTGTCTGCCTTGGGCAAAGCTGGACAGAAGCCCCATAACTGTTGGTGCTTTTTTCTGCCAGCAGAGATCACTGGAGAGACAAGTATATGCAATGCCAATCTCCTCCACCCATCACCATTGGGGTTTAAGATTGCACTATATTGTGTAAGGCCAAATCCTGCAGACACTTAGACACAAATCCAATTAAAGTAAGAGGGACCTATAGCCGAGTAGACATTTATAGGTTTCCAGTGTTAATTAGTGAGATTTGACTATTCTTTTAAATTCCCTCCCTAGCCAGGGAAAGCACCCTACAAGCATTGGACACCGTAACATTGTTTTGTACTTTTCTAAAGTACTAGGTGGGATGCGTGTGGTGCTGTGGTCTAAACCACAGAGCCTAGGGCTTGCTGATCGGAAGGTCAGCGGTTCGAATCCCCGTAACAGGGTGAGCTCCTGTTGCTTGGCCCCAGCTCCTGCCAACCCAGCAGTTCGAAAGCACGTCAAAGTGCAAGTAGATAAATAGGTACCGCTCTGGCGGGAAGGTAAATGGCGTTTCCATGCGCTGCTCTGGTTCACCAGAAGCGGCTCAGTCTTGCTGGCCACATGACCCGGAAAAACTGTCTGCGGACAAACGCTGGCTCCCTCGGCCAGTAAAGCAAGATGAGCACCACAACCCCAGCGTCGTCCGCGACTGGACTTAATGATCAGGGGTCCCTTCACCTTTACCTTTTTAAACTACTAGGACTTTATATAATCCCTAGTAAATTGTTTGCATGAAGAGATTGTTCTGAAAAATGCTTCCTTGCCAGCAGCACAGCTCCAAAGAAGTTACACAATATTCTTGTTTAAAGCAGAATTTCCTGTCCCCAAACAAACGTTTCCGACCCACAATGCTCCAAAGAGCAATAGTTTGTGATATATCCTCTCTCTGTTTCAGGTGGGAGGCCTAAACAGCCGATGCACGAGAGGGTTCTGGGGAAAAGTCTCCTCCATTTATCTCTTTGGCCAGATGTGGCTGAGGCTCCCGGAACACACAGAGCCTGAGCATTGGCAGCTGGTCAAAAGTTTGTTGCTCCTTGATAGCACACTCATTACAGCAGACGTCATGGGCAGATCCCGCAAACAGTTCCACAGCAATAATCAGAATGCCTCCTATCCTTGCTTAGCCTCCTGAGCAGTGCGGTGTCTCATGCAACTATCTCAAGATAAATATTTCAAATGCTCTTAGATTATTATTATTATTTTCACATGATACTTAGGAAATATCCTAACCATGCTCCACCATGTCATTGTGGTAATGTCATTAACTTTGGGGAGCAATTTTGTGGGTAAGCTAGAAGCTACACAGCCCACGATACGGATAGGGGGAAACCACCTCAGGCACGGACCATATTTGTCCTTTTAAAATTGCTCTTAAAAGCACAGCATTTCAATATTGTACAATAAATGATGTTGGTTTAGACACCGGGTTGGTCAACACTTTTCCGGGCAAACCCTCTAACTGCCTCTATGTGCATGCCTCTTTCCAATAGAAACAGAAGACTCTGTATAATTCAGATTTATTTGCAGGGACTTAAACAATAAAAATACGTTTATTTGTTCAGCAGACCCAATTCCCACTTCAGATCACGGGATCCATCTTAAATATCATATGGCAGCGTTTCCAAGTCATTTAACACTCGTATCATTTGCAGGAAGGCATTTAATATTCCAATTTACTGCTTTGGTCCCCAGAGGCTACCTGTAACGGAACGTATTTTGTCAGATGACTCTGAATTCCGAGGCACACAAAGGACACGCTTGAAGCCCACACAGCTCCCCATGTGTGTGGAGGAAAGCCTGGAGCAAGGCCGGGTGGCACCCAGCCAAGGCAAACCGCGGTCAGTCTAAACACAGCGCAGCACAAACACCACATTCTGACACTTATTTGCTACTGGGGAGTACCTTTCAAGCGCTCAAGTCTTTCAAGTGAGTTTGATATACACCAAGCCCAGCAGGAATGGTACATGTATCGTGACCAGGGGTGCAACTACGAAGAGCAATTAAAGAGGAAGGCGGACAGGCAGAGATTCCTTCGAGACCGTCGTTCCAAAAGCCAGACCTATAAATCTGCCCTGGGGGACTTAAATAGGTAGGGTGGGCTGCCAAAAGACCGGGGCACCCACAGATCCCATGGGGATCGCTAGGGAGGCAAAGGAGCTCAGAATAGCAGTTTACCTTTTATAGTAATTAAAATATGCTGCTCCGTAGCGATGGCCCATAATGATAAGCCTGGGAGAGAAGCTTATCAGAAACAGGCAGACTCTTCTGCAAAACCGTAAACAGAACCTGCAATTTATCCCTGCGCGTCACTAACCACAGCCCAAGGAGGACCAGGGGCTGCCAAAGCTGATCGGAGGATATGCTCCTATGTTTGTTTACTCACTCGAAAAAGCGGCAAGCGTTTGTGCAGAAGGAAAAGCCACAGGAATGAAATTATTGTTCCTCTTCAGCAGCTTTGACATGTAATGCGGAGCATAGTTCTTACAGCATTTACAGTGTTCCAAATGTTTTGCTATAGAGGCAGTGGTTCAAATCTCACCTCTGCCATGAGCTAGAGGTTCACTAGGTGCAGGGCTGCTTCTGAGAACATCGGCCATGAACCTTCTTTTGTGATGCAAAGTATCATGCCATGACACCAATTCCCAGCCCTGCAAACACTGCAGCTGGTGAAGTGATTTAGGACTGAGGAACTATGAGCAGGATGGCCTCCTGTCCCATGTACTGCTAGACACTATAGGGCAAGAGAGACCCTCGGATCAACCGTCCCTTTTTTGGCGGGAAACTCCCTTATCCCAGCGCCGTGTCCCGCTGCTGTCCCTTATTGATAAAGGTAAAGGTACCCCTGCCCATACGGGCCAGTCTTGACAGACTCTAGGGTTGTGCGCTCAACTCACTCTAAAGGCCGGGAGCCAGCGCTGTCCGCAGACACTTCCGGGTCACGCGGCCAGCGTGACGAAGCTGCACTGGTGAACCGGCACCAGAGCAGCACACGGAAAGCCGTTTACCTTCCCGCTATAAAGCGGTACCTATTTATCTACTTGCACTTAAGGGTGCTTTCGAACTGCTAGGTGGGCAGGAGCTGGGACCGAACGATGGGAGCTCACCCCGCCGCGGGGATTCGAACCGCCAACCATGCGATCGGCAAGTCCTAGGCGCTGAAGTTTTACCCACAGCGCCACCCGCGTCCCTTATTGATGATGTCCCTTAAATTTCCTGGATTTCATACTCGCCCGGCTCGGGAGGGAAGCAGCGGCTAGGAGTCCTCCGCCATAAGAGAGAGAGTGCGCATGAGCTGCCACATCTCCATCTCTCCCTTTTCCCCCTCAGGGGCACGTCATGAGAAGACCGGTGGCAGTGGGCAGGCAGGCAGCCCCTCTCTTGCAAGACTTCCGCCGCACTGCCAGGGGAAGTCGGAGGCGGCAGCGGTGGCTGAGGAGGCGGCCTGAGGGAGGAGGAAGAGGAGGGGATGGGGCAGCACTTCAGTGGCCCGGCTGCTGCGGTGCCACAACCGCCTCATGCTGGGCTCGCGGGCGGCGTGGGTCTCTCTCCCTCCCTCCCTCCCACTCTCGGGCAGGGAAGGGCCAATGAACATGCTGCTTAGCATCCCCTCCAACCAGTGCAGCATCTTAATGTAGTGATTTCCCCCTCTGCATCCCTTTCATAACTCTATTTTTATAAATAATTTGTCCATCCATAGTTTACATTTTTACTACAAGTTTTCTGTCAATCCTACCAACGTATGCAACTCTTTACAATAGCTTTTCAACTAAATTATAAACTTTCCCCATTCTTTATTAAAGAGGTCCTCTTCCTGGTTTCTAATTCTGCCTGTAAGCTTTGCCATCTGGACGTCGTTCATCAGTTTTGTCTGCCCCTCTTCTTTGGTCGGAGTTGTAGACCCTTAGGCTCATCTAGTCCAACCCCCTGCAAAACACAGTCAGTGGCAGCCAAAGCAGCCTGGCTCCATCAGTGCCGGATTTCTGCACAAGCAAAGCCAAAACCCCTTATTTTGGCTTCTGATCCCTTATTTTCGAGGCTGCTGGTCCCTTTTTTTCAAATCTGCAAGTTGACAGCTATGCCTCGGATATTGTAGGATTCCACCTCCCATCATCCCTGGCAAGATCTGGAGAGCCACAAAGGATGGGATAAGCTTCAGAACTGCTGCTTTGGACCAGTAGCTGTGATGGGTGGACCCACACCATACCCACATGTAGAGCACATGGCTTTACCCAAAGAATCCTGGGCATTGTAGTTTGCTAAGTGTGCTGGGGATTGTGGCCCTGCTACACTTCCCAGGATGCTTTCAGGGAAGTCATATGCTTTGAATATGTAATGAAAATGTGGTGTGGATCTGCCCAATAACTGCTATGTTATTTAGTTCCAGACTTAACTAGAGATGCTGACTTCTCTGTCTCTGCTGAGCCACAATATAGAGAAAATAATGCAGATTTACCTTACAGGATCAGCCATGGGAAAACTAGGCTGCCGGTAGATTAATTTATTGGAAGTCCAGCCTTAGTGGGTGATTTAAATGCTCTTTCCCACCTCCCATCAAATAACTTAACATCCATTGTCTGGGATAGCCATCAATACATGAACCAATATGCTTTTGAATTATTATGCTTGTGGAAAAAGTAGAAATCGATGACAGAGGGACAAAAAATAATAATACTTTAATTACATCAAAATATAATTATAGTCTCAGTTATTGCAATGTAATATATTCAAATCAAAATTTTTCTCACGCAAGCATCTGGTTCCCATATTGCACGGTTTCAGGCTGTTGACAGCTAAGTAAGGAGATTGCCATCACCACAGATACCCATGAGTTCAGTTTTCTGTTAGGCATTGTTGAGAAAGTTGCGTCTCATCAGAGCGTTACGGCTTTTGTACGTATGAAACATTATTCAAGCTTCTAAGATTAAGGCTGCTATGATATGCATGGGAGAAAATCCTACCGCTCTCAATGGGACCTACCTCTGAGTTGACATGCATACGATTGTGCTGCAAGGCTGTGATCCTCTACACACTTAAGCCCCATTAAATGGAATGGGATGTATCTCTGAGTCAACCTGCACAGACTGGGGAGGGGGGTTGGCAATCACTTGGGGCTGAGCTCCTCGGGGTTTAGAACAGGACCTGATGCTTCTATTATGACAAATGGTATTCAGTGGACACCTAATGGTGGAGGGGAAAATCTACATGAACATTAGAGCCAGAGATGAAAAGCATCCACTGTTCACTTATTTTGAGGGAAGGGATCACCTTGAAAGGGACCAAAAAAGTAATTAATCCTCAAAGTATGGCTCTCAATAAGATTTATTTGCCTTCTGTGACTTCATCAATTGCTAATTGGCTAGGATACCCTATGTGGTCAATCTAAGAAGCGTTGCCTTCACTCTAAATGCCTTCAGTGATGTCTGCATGTAGATAAATATGAATGTTCCTTATGTGTCCTCCTTACAGAGGGCACATGTTGTGGTGAGATCAACGTGTTGCAGGGTTGTTTGGATAGCCAAAATGCCCGATTGGTGTTCCCTCATTGCTGGGTTCAATTTGGCCAATGGGAAAGAAGGCAAACAGTTCGAGGGACCTATTTATACCCATGCACATGTCATAGAGCTTCCTCTTTTTGCTTGTGCATCAGAACACGCGCCCACCTCCCCCTATATTTAGGGTTTTTTCAGCAATTGACCTTGCTATGCCGTCATGTGTTATCTGTCGTTGGGACAGGGGCACGGCAGGAATTTCCCCACTTGGCTGATTGGCTGTTGCCATTTGGGTTTTGCCTGCTGCGTAGCAAATCATCACAACTTGTAAGGTTGCGGATAGGCACTGGTTCATGGTGGATAGGGATGCGGAGCTGTGCCGATCCCTATGTGAAGGGTATTCCATTAAAGGAATCCAAGGACTCAACTTGGTTTGGTCAACCCCTGAAAACTGGTTGTGCCCGTCTGTGCCTGAGTCTTGGGGAGTGGACAGAGTCTGTTCCCTGGCTTTTCACCTTCCTCAGGTGTTCACCCTTGGCTGACCTATGATAGAGCTCTAGGTCAGCGCTACCTGCAAGGGTGTAGGGAGCTAGTCGAACCAGAGCCTGTGCAACCACTCACTTATCTGTAATCAATAAAGTTGTGGCCTAAATTCTGCCAAAAAGCAAAACTAAAATTTGAATTGAATGTGTCTTTATTTATTGGGAAGGTCTCTGGATCTGAACATGCAACTGATTTGATCACTCTATGAAGGAGGGGGGAAACTCTAATCGATTAGGAGTATTACACTGGGGATATTTGCAAATTCTGCATGTGTGCCTGTGTGCTTGTGTATGAATTTTATCACAAAGTGAAAAAACATATATTCTATCACAAAATGTGTATTTAAATAGTATTTAAGCTCAATGCACACATTTCTAACTATATCTTATTTGAAAATGTGCCTTGTGGAGGACTGCAAGCAAGATACAACATCTGCACATGTATTCATCTTGAAAGACAACACTTCTTCTTTGCTAAAAAAAAATTAAATTTCTCAATAAAGTTTGTTTTTAAAAAGTACCTTGCAAATATAAAAGTAGCTTTCGCGTTGTTTTTTAAATGAGAACTGTGTGAAATCTAAAGGATAATTATGTTCCAATCTACTCATGAATCTGGGAGGTGAGACTGAGGCCACTCTGCCTTGGAACTCACAGAAATATTATTCCACAAACACCCTTATACAGTAAGGTACTTGTGCAAGCCAGGGTTTTCAATTTGGGCCAAAGGGAAGCAATGGTGCTAAGAGTATCTTTTAAATATATTCTAGCTTCTGCTATATGAAAGGTTATGCTTCAGGAGCCTTAGTTTTGATTATTGACTGTGGGAGGTTCATCATTAAAAACTTTGAGAAGACGGAGCTCTGGGAACAGACGATGCGGGAAACACTCCCAGGGTGTGAGCATGAACGCACACATGTTGGCAATGTTTCTAAATTGTTTCTGTAAAACTCTGAGAGCCTACTGTAGAGGGTCAAACTTTTTGGCTGAAAAAACCTGCACAATAGGTATAATTGAGATGAGAACTGGGCTAAGTGAAGACGGCCTTTGCTTGGACGTGGTTGTCATAACACAAGATGGAAGAAGAGATGTTGCCATTTGCTTACATTCCAGCTAGATGGGGGCAGAAGTCCAATCGATATTTGTCATGTTATATTACTGTACAAGAGGCCATGCGTGCTGACAAATCCAGTTTATTAAAAGCAAACCACGTTAACAGTGGGAGGGGAAGCTATTAAATCCTTGAGATGGTGCATGACAAACAACGTTCGCTCTTTGTCCAACGAAAGCAAGAACAGAGTGGCTAAAAATGAATTTATCAGCTGAAACGAACACACATATATCCTCTTATAAACTGACCTTCTTTACATTTTTGTTTAAATCAACCAGGCTGAGCAGAAAAATGTGGTCCTTAGCGCCGAGAAGCAGCCGGCCCCTTTCCTCGTCCAGCAGCACAGTTCGGAAGTCCAGCCCCTCCGCCGAGCCCAGGAATGGAACACAGCTGTTAGAAAGCAGCAAGTCTGTGAGAGAACGAAGAAAACCTTTATCACCAAAAATGTATACACACGGCTCATTGGTGTCTTCTGTAAATATATGCACCCAACACGCTCTTCACTGGTTAAGATAACAGGAGCATGCAACATTTCTTGCTATAGGACAGTGGGGAGGAGGGTAGCACACCAGAGCTGTGTGCATCTCTTCCTTCATCTGGGGCTGCTGAACTAAGTTCAAGGTGATGAACAGCCTGGTACCAGTGGGCTTGTGGAATTATCCTACCCCAATGTGAGCCCACCTGACTGCTCTGATGGGTGCAATTGGCACTGATGTATCTGCCACATGATATTCGTTCCACATCTGTAAGAAATTAATATCAATATATCATCAATATAGGAGACGTGGGTGGCGCTGTGGGTAAAAGCCTCAGCACCTAGGGCTTGCCGATCGAAAGGTCGGCGGTTCGAATCCCCGTGGTGGGGTGCGCTCCCGTCGTTCGGTCCCAGCGCCTGCCAACCTAGCAGTTTGAAAGCACCCCCGGGTGCAAGTAGATAAATAGGGACCGCTTACCAGCGGGAAGGTAAACGGTGTTCCGTGTGCTGCGCTGGCTCGCCAGATGCAGCTTGTCACGCTGGCCACGTGACCCGGAAGTGTCTGCGGACAGCGCTGGCCCCCGGCCTCTTGAGTGAGATGAGCGCACAACCCTAGAGTCTGTCAAGACTGGCCCGTACGGGCAGGGGTACCTTTACCTTTTTATCATCAATATATCAATATTGAAATGAGGCAGGGACTTTTGTTCTACTCTTTCTAGCTCCCTCCCGCTAAGAATATTTTTGTTTAAACAAGCCAATCCAGACACGTGGAAATTACATGCTTTTAGAATTTGTTTTTTAGCTTGCAGTTGATATGAATTAGTTTTTGAATGCTTCTCAAATACCTGCTTTAACAATATTTTATTGATAATTTTAATGTTTTCTTTTATTGCAAACCCCTTTTAGGTTTCATTACCATCAAGATAAGGGACGCGGGTGGCGCTGTGGGTAAAAGCCTCAGCGCCTAGGGCTTGCCGATCGAAAGGTCGGCGGTTCGAATCCCCGCGGCGGGGTGCGCTCCCGTCGTTCGGTCCCAGCGCCTGCCAACCTAGCAGTTCGAAAAGCACCCCCAGGTGCAAGTAGATAAATAGGGACCGCTTACTAGCGGGAAGGTAAACGGCGTTTCCGTGTGCGGCTCTGGCTCGCCAGAGCAGCGATGTCACGCTGGCCACGTGACCCGGAAGTGTCTCCGGACAGCGTTGGCCCCCGGCCTCTTGAGTGAGATGGGCGCACAACCCCAGAGTCTGTCAAGACTGGCCCGTACGGGCAGTGGGTACCTTTACCTTTACCTTTATCCATTTACGCATCAATATATATATATATATATATATATATATATATATTAATAGCTTTACCTTTTCCGTGTAAAATAATAATATATATATGAACAGAGCAGATCTCAGTGTTTGAGTTCCTATAAATACTGTTGAGGGGGTGTGGTGTATAGCCTCCAATGTTCTGGGCAGAGAGGAAGTTCCCAGGTTAGTGTGCCTTTTCTTCTTTTGTTCTTTAATTACTTGAGGGATATCTTGAGTGATTTCTTGAGTGATATCCTGAGTACCACTTAGGTGGGTCATTAGGTGTGGATTAGTTGCTAAAACCTTCGTGTTTTGACCTCTTGAACTTTGTGAAGAGTTTTTCTGAGAAGATGGCTGTACTACAGATCTGGCTGGCACAGGACACAAAACCACAGCTCGCCCCTATACACGAAGCCAAGCCAGAGCACAACTAAGTGCAGTACAGCCATCTTCTCAGAAAAACTCTTCACAAAGTTCAAGAGGTCAAAACACGAAGGCTTTAGCAACTAATCCACACCTAATGACCCACCTAAGTGGTACTCAGGATATCACTCAAGAAATCACTCAAGATATCCCTCAAGTAATTAAAGAACAAAAGAAGAAAAGGCACACTAACCTGGGAACTTCCTCTCTGCCCAGAACATTGAAGGCTATACACCACACCCCCTCAACAGTATTTATAGGAACTCAAACACTGAGATCCTGCTCTGTTCCAGTAACAAGAAGCCGAAAGCACCAGCCTGAAGATGACGAGTGAGACCTCGTCGAAACGTCGCCTAGACACCCCAACTTTTACACGGGAAGACACCCGAGGACACCAAAACCTGCATTCCTGTACCCGTGAAAATCTACGAAAGCATATATATATATATATATATATATATACATATATATATATATTTAAATAAAAGAAAGTAAATGAATAAATGTAGATTAGGATGTAGACTGTGGATCTGAGCAACCTGAGAGGGAACTCAGTGCTGCAACTACCCAGCCACCTGCATAGTTTTGGATTAAATTCCTTTCCTGAATGTTACATTGCTTGCATGAGCCATCAAATGTCCATGAGTTTAGCAAATGATGCAACTGTTTGATTCATGAAGGCAACAATTTTTAAAAACATATTGAGCAATGGTCATGTTTCAGTGAACTATACACCCGAACACCATGTACACATGTAAATCTTTTATACCTTTCCAATACAGAGATCTCCCTGGCCTTGCTCCTTATCCCAACACTGTGTTAATCAACACAAGAACTAAGGGTGGTAGCACCCTAGAGGGTTGTGAGAGGCCAATGAGAACTCTTTTATTCCAGTGGGCATTGCATTTCTGTAGTTCTACTTGAGATTTTTCTGGGAGCAACCTTGTTAGTTCCTTGTTTTGAGAGTTCCTTGCTTTTTCTCCTTGCAACTGTATCTTATCTATTATTGTTAGTGACTGTAATGGGTTTTTATGAATGTTTGCAGCCACATCCTAAATTCATGGCAGAGTGACAGGCTGTTATTTACTTTTTACAGGGTCAAACACAATCCAAACATTAACTCTTGTTCTCTGCAATACATCTTTTGATTAATTTGTTAATTAGAATTATTTTTTAAATGGACATTTACCATTTATATTTTTGAATCTATAACTGTGTATGATAATGCTGATATTGTTTGGAATGTTCTATGTGTGACTTTATATACGAGATGTCAAAAGTAAACAAAAGTAAACATCTCCTTTAAATGAAGTTGTGCTTAATGTAAGCCAACTTGAACAGTTTCTAGAGTCATGTTTCTGGGACGTGTTTTTGTTTTAATAAACAAATATACAAGCCAATTCATAAATAAGACAAACTGGGAACAAAATGCAAATGCTTTGGACAAAATGTACGTGTGCGTTAGTGTCCGCACAAGTCTTTCTCAGCCAATTTTGCCCACAACAGCAGAGAACCCCAGTACAACTGAGGACCTGTAAGAACCTGCCGTAATCCAGTGCAGTCAAAGGGCCTCCTCTCATGTGTAACAAAATAAAAAAAATCCTTCCAGTAGCACCTTAGAGACCCACTAAGTTTGTTATTGGTATGAGCTTTCCTGTGCATGCACACTTCTTTTCTCATGTGTAGTTTACCTGTCCTCTCCACAAATCATTCTGTCTCTGTCTCACACTCTGCCCTGATCTCCCTACTTTGCCTCCAGAGCAAAGGCAGCCACAGAGCTGGTGGAAAATCCAGAGCTGACATTGGAGTGTGCACTTTGCTGCCAGAAATCGCCGTCGCAAACAGCGCCCCAGCAGAAGACCAGAAGCTGGCACTGAGGAGACAAATCTCTCAAGTCTCTGGTTTCCTGCTGGGCATTGCTGTCAACTTTCGGATTTGAAAATAAGGGATCAGTAGCCTCACCTATCCCGGGACAGTCTACGCTACGGGATATCTAACAATCCGGGATAGCAGCGGGAAGCAGCGAGAAACAGCACTGGAATAAGGGAATTTCCCGCAAAAAAAGGGAAGGTTGACAGCTATGCTGCTGGGCTAACAGTTTCCAACAGAGCTCCACCGAGTCACCTCCAACACTAGGGCCATCTATTATTATTATTTCAAAAACAAATAACAATACCATTTACAAAGAAATAAAAGCCGGCAACAAATTAAAAAGAATAAATCCAATTATAAAAAACAGACCTACCTGCAATACACAGCAATACAGAGTGAAACAACTACATTAAAACATCCATATTTTAAATATATAATAAACAAGCCCCTTGGAACACCATAATAACTGAGAAAGAGTGGGAAACTCAAGTCAAGACATCAGAGAAATGTTTGTCTAAGCCGTGTTACTTTCAAGAACTGGTGGAATGCTAATAGTGATGGCACTTTTCATATTTGAGCAGGAGGATCATCTCCCCTATGAGTGCCCCCCATAGAAAAGCTTGCTTCCATCTTACTACAAGTTGATAATCATCAGGCCAGGACAAAGTTAAACAAGTTACAGATAGGTAGCCGTGTTAGTCTGCCATAGACAAAACAAAAAAATTCCTTCCAGTAGCACCTTAAAGACCAACTAAGTTAGTTCTTGGTATGAGCTTTCGTGTGCATGCAGGTATCTGAAGAAGTGTATCTGAAGATGTATGTATGCACACGAAAGCTCATACCAAGAACTAACTTAGTTGGTCTTTAAGGTGCTACTGGAAGAAAGTTAAACAAGTTAGCTAACGTTCAGTTGTCAGCCCTAAAGTGGTTGGGACCAATGATGGTAATTTACAAAGCTGGCCAGTGTGAAGGCCAGCTCAGAGTCCTGACATTTAAAACAAATCTGGTTTTTTTGTTTTGTTTTGTTTTAAGCAATGCGAAACTAATGTCGAGTTGGCAGACAGTGCAGTAGAGAGGGGAGGGACATGGTTAACAGCGCTAGGATTTCAATGCTGTTATCAGGTATAATTTGCAGCGGTTTGGTTTGAGCACAGGAAAAGATTAATGAACCTCTACAGGGTAGTGTATTTCAACAAACCCATTGCTGTTTTAGCCTCCAGTCGTTCTCCTGGGCACAGACGCTGATTCATATCAAATCATGTCAGGCTCTGGGATGTAGACAAATGAGGATGGGAAAGAAACCAACTCATTTTCACTTACAAACTAAAACGTAAGAGTTGA